ATAAATATATATATATATATATTATATATTATATGATAATACCAATTGATATATTATGAATTTTCTTTCAATATTGGAAAATATGATTTTCAATAAATGTATAACGATTTTTCAATTCAATTTGTGTGGCACAAAGAGCACGAAACTGGGTCATCCAAGTTATTTTTCTTATATTAAAGATTCATTCGTTCATGCGTTTTGATTAAAGATGCACGCAGCACGCATTTTCCCCCCAACTAACAATTCCATTTGCAGAGCACGTACATTATTTATAGTCGCCCTTCCAAAAGTATGACCTATTTGTTGGATCTTTTGTAACACGGACACGCATACAAAATAATTATTATATTCGAAGTTTCGTAAACTTGTCAGAAATTTAACATGACGTTAATCACATCATATAGTGATGTAGAAGTAATGACATATTTCTGTACCAAGTATTGAAATAAACAAATTTGTAAATAAAAATTGTGTATGAAATAAATTTGTAGATTTGGTGGACTAAAATGTTTATTTTGCTTTTTTATTAATTCAATTTTGATGATAAAATTTCATTTTTTTTTTTGGATTTGCAATGTGTAAAATTTTTAAGTACACCACTAGTGTGGTAGAAACACGACCGGTTTAAGTTCAAGCGCCTCCTGTACACTCTCCTCCAAGAAAAAATAAGAGTGATTATATAAGAAGATGAGACTGCAGCCACTGCTTTTCAAGATCGACTCAATATCGATCGATTTGTCGGTGAATCATATAAGGTTGCAAAGTCTCATTTGTAAACGGCGAGCCGAGATGTTAGAATGGAAGCACTTCGATCAAAAAAGATCCCTGTACATAAATGATCCGATAAAAAATAGCCACTACGGTCTGTATTTTGTAGAAAGCGAAGAAGCGAAAAGATGGAGGCGCGAAAAGGTGAAATTCGAGAACCTAAACTGGTCGTGTATGTTAGATGAGGTCGAAGAGTTCGAAAGAACAATGGAAAAATTTTGGAGGAGAGTCACAACTGAAATCGCTGAAACAAATGCAGAAGCTGATCCACACCACTACAGGATTTTGAAATTCTGGCACAGTCACGTGAATTTTATTATCACACTTACGGAAAAACTTGCTGACATTGCGAACATGATGATGTTGGATGAAGTAAGGAATATGAGTTACGAAGCGTTCATTCAATTGATGCACGAGAATGATAAGAAATTCCGTAATTTTATGGCCGATTGTAAAGTTATGGAGGATTTTCTATTAAAGTTCCTCAACGCGGCGAGAAGATATTTGATTTACTACTACAGAAAATCATAACGCATTACAATATATTTCTATTTAATTGATATATCGAGTATATCGTTTCGTACGTTTTCAAGAAATACTAAATACTCAGTCTATTTATTATTTTACTGTAAATAAGCCGATTGTATGTGTTCTGTATTTTTACTTTGTTTTCTTTCTAAGTCAAATAAAAAACATTCTCTTTTTACGTTTCTTATTTTGTCTGTTCCCAAATAATTCACTCCACTTTTGTTACCAACCAGACAAAACATTCTTCGATTTGTGCTGAAACAAAAATATAATATTTTATTTCGACGACGTTCCAAAATACTTTACATTTCTTGTCAAATTGTAAGTATAAAAATTACAAAAAAATATCACTAAATTATATCATATTCATAGTTTTTTAATAAAAAACCTTTTTTTCAGATTTAAACTAACTTAACATTTTTTTTCCTGAAAGAAGAATTTAACTAAAAATGTCCCGTATAAACACTATGTTCATAAAATTGAATAATTTTTGCATGGGAGCAACAGCAAATTGTTTCAGGTTTGATGGGATTTACTCGAAACGCAGAGCAGAAGAAAAACTGCGGGAAATTGCATTGTTGAACATAGAGCATAGCGAAGATAGTTTAGAGTTTTGGAATTTGAGGATTATGAACGAGAATCACTTTTGGAATATGTTAATGTGCATCTGCGACGATATGCTAATGCTTCTGAATAATTTAATTAAGAGTGTTCAGGAGAAGATCAGGAGCATTCCTGAATTACTTTTGCACGTCAAATGCTTGCAGTCTATGATCAAGGATTATTTGCTTGTTGCCTTGGATCATCTGATAGAACTCAAGAATATTGTGACGACTACAGGTCTAGACTGGAACGTTTGTTTTGAAGAATTGATCAGTTTATTGGAAACTCAAGATTTGAGGTCAGTCGAGTTTTACTATAGGTTTATGGAAATGCAAAAAGGTTTAGTTAATCTGTATGATAAATCGCATAAATATGTAGATGCAATCAGTCGTTCTATATACGTTTTTGAGGAATAACATAAATATTTTAATTTAACCATTGATTGAAAATATTAGAAAAAAACATATTAAGTCTGGAATAAAACTTTTCAAAAATCTTGACATTTGTGTGTATAATAAGAAATATTATAATAAAAAAAATATAAAATGAAAGTATAAAGTATGGATCTTAGTATATAAAAATCATTAGTATCTATTGAACTTGTGATATAGACGTGTATAAATATCGAAGCTTCAGAAAATGGAGAACATTGAAAATAAGTTTTCTTTTTTAAAGACAGTGTCCAGTGCCAGCTACAATATCATTGAAGAAATTTCTTTAGCTCGTTTGAATTCGTTCAAAAGACGCGCTGAGATTGAATTAAAGAGAAGCGTGTATATCGAATGTGTAAAAACGTTCCCTGAATTCGAGTTCTGCATGAACGATAACGGATTGATAACGGAATGGGTAAAAGATAAAGCCAAAATGGAAGTCATCTATTGGAATACACTCACTAATGAGCTCAATAAATTACAGAAGGCATTAATGATTTGCATGATTTTAATTGTAGAACAGATGGAGGACAATAGTAGTAACGTGATAAGTAATAGAATAGAGACGTGGACTGGACCTTTGGATCACTTTATACAAACCATTCAGTTATATATGAAAATTTCGACGGGGTCAATTGAAGCTATAAAGCAGAAAACGGGAATTCAGGATTTCTTTGATCAGATGACTTTGAATGATGAAATATCCATTGGATTCGCAGCTAAATTGGAAGAATTGTTCACGAATTGCAAAGAGTTTATCGATGAAGTTTTACTTTTAATAAAAGTTCATAGATTTTAAATTTTTGACTAAAATAATATTGTATATACATGTATGTTATTAGTACATTATTTTTGTAAATGATCTAAAAAATCATGTATAAAATTAAAAATTTTATACATCGTTTCAATATTTTTTTGCTACATGAACTCGCTCATGTTTTTATCAATAAAAAGATATTTTTAGAGTTTAGTTGAAAATAAAGTGAACATTTATATTTCGATGCTGTTCTTCAATCTTCTAAAATTCTTCTCATAGTGTAATTAAAGAAAAAAATTAATTATAGTTACAATATAAAAGTTATAGAAACGTATTAGCTTATGCATACTTTTTGATGATATTTGCAGATTTAACCTCCGGTTTAGCTTGATTAGAATATATATAGTTCAATAACCAAAAAATGATTGCTGTGAAGAAAATGTAGAGTCAAAAATGTAAATTTAAAATTTTGTAATCTAAAATATCTTTTGGATAATTTAGACAGTTAATTAATCGCATAAAAATCGTGAAACTTCAGAAGATTGAAGGTATTGATAATTAACATACAGAGAATTAACATTGAGAGTTAACATACTAAAACTAGGAAATCTTCAATCCAGATCTCCCTTATTCAAACCAATCTAATGATGAATTGGTTAATTGAAAAAAGAAGAATTGGAAGTCGACTACTGGAAGGCAATCATGGGTGATATGGGTGATATGGGTGAAGAGCAGATGGAGGAAAACCCAGATTGTATAGGTAATTACACTACAATAATATAAAACAATATGGAACGAATATAGTATTTTTAGGAGAAAATCTGTGTTTTTTTTTATAATTTGTAACGTTAATATTATTCCTGAAATAAGCTGGGATGAAAATTTCATAATGAACAAACTTTAAATTCAGCAAAATTAAAATGAATTTCACACAGGTAAAAAGACCAAATTTGCGGTACCGTACTCTTTGGTCCTAAATAAGGTAATAAAAAGCATAAATTTCTCATTCAAATAATAAATATAACTTTTACAAAGTAATAAAAGTGTAATTTTGCAGATTTGCATTTATTAAATGTGTATATTATATTTTTCACCGGAATCGTAATTTTAAAGCATTTTGAAATTTTTTATGGAATAAAACATTGCTGTTTTAGAGAAAAAATTATACTAAAAAAACTTGCTACAAACAAATCATCAGTATCAATTCAACTGGTGATATAGACACACATAAATCTTATAACTTCAAAAGATGGAAATCATTCGAAATATGTTATCTCGCACACTATCGCTATCCAATGCTTTAGAAATCATTGCCAACAAGATTGAAGAACACACAGAAGCTCGTTTAGTTCTGTGCAAAAGACGGAATGACATTAAAAACAACAGAAGCCTGTTTAGAGGAAGGAGAAAGATGGAAATCAAGTATTGGGGGTTAATGAGAACAGAACTGAGAAAATTCAAGTGTTCAGGAATTACTTGCATTTAGTTCGAGGGCAGATGCAGGATGATCAAATCCAAAAACCTATTTACAGGAGCACTTTAAAGATGTGGATTAGAATCTTGAAACCGTTGATCAAGAATATAAAGTTATATGTGAACGCTTCGACACACATGATGAATACTATTAAAGACAATATGAAAACGCAAGATTTCTTTGTTCGGATGAGCAAGAACGATAAAATAACCATGAAATTCGTCAGCGAATTGGTCATGCTGATTGTACGTGGCGAGAATTTTGTGCAAAACGCCGTCACATTCTTCCAATCTTCATTTGATATTTCTTATGAGTAGATTTTTAACATACTATGAAATATTTGATTTAACACAAAAATATTTTTATGTTTTCTTTTAATTATTTTTTAATACAATTTTTTATATTTTTTAGTACTATGAAACAAACGACAATTAATCATAACTTCTCTTCATCTTAAGATGATTTAGACACAATAATATATAACGATAAATTGTAATTTTATGATGCAACCTATCCTTTGGATGATTTTGGAAGTAATCATGGATTTTGTGCATTTGAAGATTAGAGAGTAAATACGCGAAACTGTACAGCTGGATAATTTCTATATAGAAACATTATGGGCGCATGTTAAAATTTCACAATCCTTGATGAATTATAATAAGGATTAAATGGAAATCACGGATTGTCTTAATTAGATGTCAATAAAGGATTAAACTCATGATCAAATTATATATCATGTTTAGAGATTGCAAAGAGTTTGTTGAGGATGCCGTAAATTACTTGCAAAGTTTTAAAAATAATTTGTAGAAAATTGTATTGTATAAAAAATTAAAAATGTGACGTATCATATGTATTATTTCAATTATATATAAAAATATAAGTATATTTACTTAAATTTTTCGTGGAACAAATATTATTAGTCTTTTTTATAATTTATACTGTATTTACTAAATAATACGGGATACAAATTTCGATAAGTCTCCTTTTGTACGTTTTGAATATAGTTAATTATTCCGGTTCAAAGGTCCGGTACTATGGTCGGTAGCTTTTTAGGGTAATAAAAAATCATAAATGGCATTACCCCTTCCCTACATTTTTTGAATATTTTTATGGCAATTTTCAATTTTCTAAACTTTAGAGAAAATTTTACTGTAGAAGCTTAGACTTGTTACAAACACACCATCAGTATCAATTCAACTTGTAATACAGATACACAGAAGTCTTACAACTACAGAAAATGTCAAACCTTCAAAATATGTTTACATGCTTATATTCTGTAAAGAGTGTATTCGAAAACACTCAAAAAAATATTCAACACAAAACAGCAGTTCGGTTGAATCTTGCAAAAAAACGCATTGACGTTGAAAACAAGGTAAACATGTTCATCACACACGGAATAACATTCCCCGGATTCGAGTTCTGCATGGGGGAGACCAGATTGTTGAGGGTATGGTGTAAAGAAAAAGGATACCTCGAAAACTCTTATTGGGAATTCGTCAAGAGGAAGCTGGGCAACCTTCAGGTATTATTAGAGGAATGCTTGCATTTAGTTGAAGTACAGATTGGGGAGGATCCAAATAAATTAAATGACTACACAAAGTCATTGGATACCTGGATCGAACGATTAAATAATTTTATAAAAAATATTAAAGAATTTGTGAGAACATTGACATGCGAGGTGCATAGTATTAAGGAGGAAATTGAAACTCAAGATTTTTTTCATCTGATGAACGTGAACCAAGAAATGTCCGTGGGTTTTCTGAAGAAATTGGACGAATATTTCGAGGATTTTAAAGATTTTATAGGTATATCCAAAAATGTTGTACAAATTTATATAGAAATAAGGTTGAAAAACTTAATTTAATAATGTTTCAAACTATTATTTAAGAGTACTGATAAAAGCAAATGTAATTATAAGAAGTTTAGCAAGAAAATGTATTATATTATTTATATTACAAATGATACTTGGAAGTTACCATGGATTGCGTACATGTGAAGAAGAAATTTGAGATGGTCATTTCTTAGAAAAAATAAGTACGTATGTGAACATTTTGCATTTCTTGATGAATGCATTAAATGGAAATCCATAAATGGAATTGCCTTGATAATGGGCAAATTGCATATCATGTTTAAAGATTATAAAGAGTTTGTCGAGGACGCAGTACATTTCTTGCAAAGTTTTAAAAATAACAGTGACGTATCATAATTTTTTGTTTGTAATTATTTATAAAAAATTAAGTATATTAACTTAACTTTTTAAATACTTCTTTATATTATAAATCGTATCTCTTTTTGTACGGTTTTAAAGCCCTCGATTACTATTTCAAACGTCGGTAGTACTTTGGTCATAAATGAGGCAATAAAACTCATAAATTTTTATTTGAAAAAGAAAACTTTTACAATGTAATAAAAGATTGATTCTGCAGATTTGCATTTATTTATTGATATAATCAAACTAATTTCTGAAAAACTATTTTTAATCTTTTGAATATTTGTATTGCAAAAAACTTCTCTCCTCTACAATTTTCTAAAATTTAGAAAAAAAAAACTTGTTACAAACAAATCATTAGTATTCATTCAACTTGTAATATAGATACACAGAAATCTTAAAAGTACAGAAGATGACAAACCTTAGAAAAATGTTCTCATGCTTACATTCTGTGTACACAGTATTCGAAACGTCTCGAAAAAATATTGAAAACAAAACTGCAACTAGGTTGGATATGTCGAAAAGCCGCATTGAAGTTGAATACAAGAGACACATATTTGTCATAGAGGGAAAAACATTCCGAGGATTCGAGTTCTGCATAGGCGAGACCAGATTGTTGAGGATATGGTTGGCAGAAAAAGGGCGACAGGAAAACTCTTATTGGGCATTTGTCCAGACAAAGCTGGACAATTTGCAGGTATTATTAGAAAATTGTTTGCAATTAGTTGAAGTACAGATTTGGGAGGATCCCATCAAATTATACGACTACACAAAAACATTGGATACCTGGACCGAACGTTTGAATTACAAATATTAAGGAATTGGTGACAATATCGACAAACAGGGCAAATAGTATTAAAGAGGATATGCAAACTCAAGATTTCTTTGATCAGATGAATGTGAACCATATTTTATAGATTTTGATGAATTTGTTAGTATCTCACTAGTTGTCGTGCAAAGTTATATTGAAGATCGGTAGAAATCAACACTCACAAATCTCTGATTTATCACTAAAATATTATATTCGTTTTTTATATTATTTATTTAAAAAGACTTGTATATTATTTCTTCTAAATTATTTTTTGTAAATGTTATTAAAAGAAAAAATATTTAGAATTTTGGATCGGACTTTTCAGTACTCTGAAATAATGATTTAAAACACTATCAAATTATAGAATATGTAATTTATTATATGATCTATTATTTTATTTTTATTACAATTATTCATAAATTTTATTTATTGATGAATATTTTTAGGTATATGATTGATAATAAAACTACTACACTTTTTCTACAGATTTCTAATTCTTCATCCCTCCTCTTCATCTGTAGATGATTAAAAAAATGGTATAAATCCGACATTTTGCTAGAAACAAATCTCAGTATCAATTC